ATCCCAAGACCCTGGGATCATGACCTGAGCCAAAGGCAGACGTTTAACGACTGAGCCACCCAGGCGCCCCTTCGGTGGTGGTTTAAAAGAGCTAGGGGTGCCTGGGTGGCTCAGTTGGGTAAGCATCTGACTCATAATCTCAGCTCAGTCTCTGATCTCAGAGTTGTGAGTTCAAATTCTGCAGTGGGCTCCGCACTGGGTGTGGAGCCTACTTTAAAAAAAAAAAAAGCCTAAAACTAAAAGTGCTAAATTTCAAAATCATTTATAGCAAGAAAATGAAGCAAATCATTCACTTTCACAATTAAAGACACTATTTGATAATTTTCATTTTAACATTTTAATTTGACATTAACATTTTATTTTACTTAAATGCTTATGGAAATAAAAAGACTTGCTCAGGGCGCCTGGGTGGCTCAGTCAGTTAAGCATCTGCCTTAGGCTCAGGTCATGATCCCAGGGTCCTGGGCTCGAGTCCCCCGCATCGGCCTCCCTGCTCAGCGGGAAGCCTGCTTCTCTCTCTGCCTGCCGCTCTGCCCACTTGTGCTCGCTCGCTCTCTGTCAAATAAATAAATAGCTTTAAAAAAAAAAAAAAACTTGCTCAGTTTAAGAGAGGGACACGGGCGCCTGGGTTGCTCAGTCAGTTAAGCATCTGCCTTCAGCTCAGGTCATGATCCCAGGGTCCTGAGTTCAAGCCCCTAGTCAGGCTCCTCACTCAGCAGGGAGGCTGCTTCTTCCTCTCCCTCTGCCCCCCCCACCCCTTGTGCTTTCTCTCTCTCAAATAAATAAATAGAATCTTTAAAAAGAGAGAGAGAGATGGAAATGCATAAATTAACCACTGTTTGAAAGTATTTTATCTACATATTGAGAAATACATGAAAACCTTGACAGACCACGAAAATGCAGTATGGAAGTAAATCACATACCCTGCATGTCTTAAATAGCAGTAACTAGAAGTGCCAAAATTCGGTTAACTTTTGTTTTTTCAGCCATCCTTGCAAATGTGGGGCGGGATTCAAGTTTCCAATTACAGTTCAAGGGGTGTTTGCTCAAACCCAGACCGAATTTTCTTGCAATTTCCTGCAGTTCAGTTCAACCAGCCCCAGGGGGTGGCGGATAGGGGAAGAGCTTGTCCTTTAGTCTTCTGTCCCCTGGAACCCTCCACTTGTCATTGTAAGGAGTCCATTGAAGAGCAGCGAACAGCTGCTGGGCCTGGGGAACAGAGAGCTGAAGAAGAGAGGTCAGACCCCTGAGCCAGGCCCTGGTGGGCAGAACCACATGGAGGGGAAGGCACACTGGCTGAAACAGTGGCCCCTTGCCAAGAGGAAATTTCTTAACATGCTGAATCAAAAACTCTCATGTAGGCCCTGCCTGCCTCTCAGGTTCTTCCTCTGACCTCCCACCACCCCTCTGACCCTACACTCTACCTCTTTAAGGCAGTTTCACTTGCTTCCAAAACAATCCTGAATTGGGGTAGGAAAGGCTGTAGAAATTCCCACCACAGCACGGCTTCCCATGTGGATGCCAGATTTAGCAAATAAAATACAACTAGTGAGACAGGATCGAGGCACTGGGGTCGGGACTCCTCTTGCTCTGGGGGTGTCTGCAGCTGCAGGATCTCAGGCAAAACAGTGGAATTCTTTAACTGACGTTGGTCTACACACCCCCACCTAGACACTCCAAGCAGCCCGCCATTGCTGTCCTCTGCCATCAAGTCAGCTGTATGGTCAGGTGCCCAGAGGCCCCCATCTCACCCCCAGACTCCTTGGTGACTGGCTCCCTAGCTGGGGATGGATGACTGGACGTCAGCATGAGACTTTGGCCTGGTCCATACCTTCCTACAGCCCAGGACAGGTTTGTGCTGGAGACTCCGAACTCCACCAACATCAGCACTGTTTTCCCAGGCTCTGAGCTCCATGTGGAACATTCCATGGTTGATAGCTCCCGTCGGCCCTTACAGCTGTGGGTAGACAAGTGTGTGACCAGTCCCCACCAGGATCTACACTACAGTCTCCTTAGGCATTGTGGGTGCCTGGGGGATGGCAAGGACCCCATTCCCACTTCCTGCCCCGAGAAGTCCCCAAGAGCTCCAAGCTCTCCTTCCAGGCTTTCAGCTTTACTGATACTCCTAATGGCACCTATGTTCCCCACCAGCTGCTGGTCTGGGGTCCAGAGGTACCCTCTGATGCTACCAAGGAGGTCTGTTCCTTCCACGGGGATGGAAACAGGTGGGCACTTCTGGGAGATGCTTCCTTGAGCGCTATGTGTGACTGTTGTGAGGTTACCTGCCTGGTCTCCTGGTTGTCCCATGGAAGAGCCCTGGCAGCCTCTGGGAGGGCCCCTGAGGAGGCTTCCAAGCAGGTGACAGAAGACAGGTTGCCTTGTCCTGAGTTGAGTCAGGCCTCTGACGCCAGGAAGCCTCCCCAGCTCACTGACGCTGATGACGGGGACTTAGCTCCACCCTGGGCATGGGCTTCTGTGTCTTAATCCGCTGCCGCTGGCTCAGGACACAGAGCCCTGCAGCACATCCAGCTGCAGGCCCAGGGAGCAGGATCTAGGGAGTCCCTAGTGCCTCCCAGAGTTTTCCAATGAAGAGACGTGTACCAAAAAAATAGAAGAAAATATAGGACACCCAAGTAATTTCAGATTTCAAGGACACAACAAGTAAGTTTACCGTGTAAGTATGCTCCAGGCAGATTTCTGTGTTTTACTTAGTAACCCTAGTTTTTCCATATGCAGAGGACAGTCCACGGGAAGAAACACTCTTCCCTCAGCCAGCACCCGCGCTGGAGGGTTTGGAAGGACGGAAGTTGGAAGGCGCCCACCAGGGAGGTGTCCTGTGAGCTATAACCAGCAGGATCTTCACAGTGCACTTTTGAGGGGCTTATCTTCAAAGTCTCAGGAAAGTCCTTAGTCTGAGGCTGGCTCAAGACACCAGGCAGGCCAGGGAGGCCCAGCCTCCCTTCTGAGGCTTCCCCTGCCCACCAGCCACCCCTTCCTCCCGCCAGCGGGGGCCTCCACCCCAGCTCCCTTCCTCCTGGCCAAGCCTCAGCAAGGACTTTGCAACCATCAGGGCAACCCAGGTCTTCCTCCTCGGATGGAGGGACATGGAGAATCCAGGCCGCATGGACGTATCTCAGAGCCTGGCAGCTGGAGCCGGGTGTCCTGGCTCCATTCCCTGCCATCATGTCCCCTTAGGTGGAGTCCCCTGCAGACACCTTCGGACACTACTTCCTGTATACATTGGAGACAAAGGCCCCTGCTTCCCTCGTGGGCTTGAGTGGGGTCAAAAGTACGTGGGTAATAGTAAAGAGCACCTGTGTCAGGGGTGGTTACTGTTCTCTGGGTCCCTAAATCTCCATCTGTCAAGGGGCCACCTACTCTTGCTTTCTGCCCTCTCCCATTTGGAGCATAATGGATAAGGAACGGGTGCATTGTGAGGCACCGGATCGGCTGAGAGAGAGGCTGCAGGGCCCCTTGTAATTCCTTTAACAGAAAACATTGCCTGCATGGGGTACCCCAGAATTAGTCCCACCTCAGAGGAGGAGAATGGCCCCCTCACTTCCTTCCAGTCCAAGGACCCTCACTGTTTAAATGTTTCACATTCTAAGAATTCTTTTTTCAGGGCATCTTCTACACTTTTTCAAATTCCCATGTCATCTGAACTTTCATGACCCAGGGGGACAGAGACCAGGCCACCCTTCTAGCCTCACCTGGCTCTGCCTCAGTGCACACTCCCCCCCACCCCCATAGCATATAACCCAAGCTCCAGATTGCCAACCTGAGGGCCAGGTTCTGGTGCTAGACAGGAGGCTCAAAGTGGACCACAGTTCTGGAAGTGGGGACAAGGACGGGGGGGTATTGATACGCATTTTATGAGCACTCTTACATAATCGTCATAACAAACCTGACACCAAGGGAGAATGTGCTGCCCACAGATGCTAAGTGATCGTCCCACTTGTCAGACCAGCAGGCAGAAGCCAGTGCAAGGCTTAAAAGAACTTGAAAGCAGGGCCATCTGGAGGGCTGAGTAGGGTAAGCGTCCAACTCTTGGTTTCAGCTCAGGTCATGGTCTCAGGGTCCTGAGATCGAGCCCCGAGTCTCCTGGAGTGTGCTCCAGATTCTTTCTCCCTCGCTCTCTCTCTCTCTCACTTCTCTCCTGCCCCTTCCCCCTGCTCCCATGCACGTTCTCTCTCTCTCTCTAAAATAAATAAATAAAATCTTAAGAAGAAGAAGAATTTGAGAGCAGGCTAGTGATTGCCTTGGTGCCAGTAAGCCCAGCTCCCACCCAGAAGCAAGGAGCAGAGTCACAGGATGCGGCCAGGCTCACTGAACGGCCTCCAAATGGGAGGGGCCCAGAGTGGGCATCAAGGACCAAGAATTGGGAAGCTGGATGGAGAAACAGGAAGTGGCAAGGCTAGGCCTCTGGGGCAGTCTGACACCAGACAGTCCAGGAGTGTGCTCCCCTGAGGCCCAAAAGGGCCCAGATAGGGGCGGAGGTGGGGAGGGGAGAGTGGAGGGTAGCCACAGTAAGGAAGGCCTGTTAGATGTCAGGGGCCAGGGGCCAGGGGCCAGGGGCCAGGGCCAGAACCCAGAGCAACAGGTGGGCCAAGGTGGCAGCACCTGCGCCTAGAGCCCTCAGGTCAGCCCTGTGAGGGCCTGGGAGCTGCACTGTGCCTCATTTCCTAGGCCCAGACACAGGGCATTGCGCTGGAATGCAGGCCCACATCACCCCTGCCCTCAAGCTGGGAAGCCATCTCCACCCTCATTTCCCCACACTGTCTGCTCGGCTGCTCGGGGTGGCCGCCCGGCAGGCTGCTTGCCCCCCTTCCAGGCCCAGGTCTCAGGCTCACTGGGCTCCCCCAACATGACACTGGATCCCAATGGCCG